ATCAAGGGAGACTAGGCTAGAAAGCTAGATGGGGATGAAATTACGAGAGGCTTTGTATAGCAATATAACTAAGGAATCTGTACTTTATTCTTGGAGAGTGGAGAATTCCTGGAGATTTTAATTTTAATGTAGTGTGTATAGAATGTATTTATGGAATTCCATATGATGTATGGAAATGAGGGGTTTTTTTGACCACACAAGTGAATGAGATATAGGCTAGGATAAAGATAGAGGTCCTGGTTGTAAAGGGACTTAGAGGTGGGAGATAAAGGACATTATTTTCAGAGAAATATCAAGACTTGGTGACCAATCAAACTTCAGAAGTGAAGTGTCTATATTAGGTTTCAATTTTGGATGACTGTGTGAAAGGGAAGAAAATGAGTACAGTTTGGAAACAGCTGAGTTTGAGATGCTTGTAGAGATTCCCAATAATTAATTGGCAATAGATTCCAGAGCTCAGAAGAGAGGTTGGGGATGAAGATTTAAATCTGAGTCATTAGCATTGCAGGGGACACGGAACTGCTTCCAGGAATCTGCCATCTTTTTGGAAGGATAGAGAAAACATTCCCATAACTTCTAGTAACACACATTCTACCAGTAAATTGTAAGTTCTTTCTTTCACTTATAAAAATTTATGTTCAAGTTTTAATCAAATTCCTCATTTTCATTCTTTTGAAAGTGTTTAATGATCATTATGATATTACTTGCTAATGAAAAGAAAGCATTTCAACAACAGATAGGAATGGACTAATTTTGTCATTATTCTTTGAAGCAGAAGACTTTTATTACTAAGGTTTTGAAAAGAGCACTTAGAGATGATCAAGTGTAGAGTTTAATAATTTCCCACTTACTGTCTTGTTTTTACAGTATTCCTGCCACAAAAACTGTCGTGCATTTTTTCATCTATTTACCTGACTAGTTTTTATTGGGTGTCTACCATATCCCAAGCCCTGTGCTGGGGGCTGGGGATGGAGAGAGGAGAATATGCTGAGTATTTCACTGTTTAAGTGTTCAAAAAATATATTACCAACAACTACTGAAAAGTGAACTTCTTGGAGAAGAACTTAAAAAAAATAAACTACCAAGACTCCTGCACAAGGAGAAATGGTTAAGGTATAATTGACAATAAATATAAAATACCTACTTTTAGAAATGTAACTGAGTGGAAATGCTAAAAAGCAACGCTAACATTTGTTACAACTTTTGTGTAAAAGCAGGAGAGGGCAATTTGCATGTTAATTTATTTATTTATTTATTTTTTGAAGAAGATTAGCCCTGAGCTAACATCGGTGCCCATCTTCCTCTACTTTATATGTGGGATGCCTACAACAGCATGGCTTGCCAAATGGTGCCATGTCTGAACCCAGGATCCAAACTGGTGAACCCCAGCACCAAAGTGGAACGTGCACACTTAATCACTGTGCCACTGGGCCAGCCTCCCAGTTTGAATATTTTTATGGATTGGGGCTACTTTTAAAAATTTGAAACTAAATAACTATAAAAATAGATGCTGCTTCCATGGTAACATAAAAGAATAGCAATGAAAAACAGGAAAGGTGGCTCTAGAATAAAATCCCAAAAGCTGCTCTTTTTTAAAGTAAGTCAAAAAGTTAAACACATCCATAAAATAAAAATATTGAGTTCAATCAAAGCATAAATCATAATAGGGTTTTATGTGATGGTTTAATTTTTCATAATATATATTTTGTATTAAGTTACATATTTGGGGTAATATATTTTGTATAATAATAATAATAATACATATTTTGTATTGTTATTTGTTAGAACAACAGGACAGGCAGTTCATTTTATTAACCTTAACAAGACCATAGGAAGGGTTGTGTATTTATCTTGCCTCTGGCATTAGGCATCAAATGAACATTTTATTTTTTCTTGTAGAAGTAAAAAGACAAATAATTGAGACATAAATGAAAATAAGTGAAGAGAATAATTAATGGCAATAGATTAATATGTACTAAGTGTCTAGTATACGCCAGGTTAGTGTTAGTTGTTTTACAAATTTTACTAATCTTTACAGAATAAAATTGTGGGAAAATCTTTTATCCATTGCATAGATAAAATATTAAAGCTCAAAAATATTAAGTAACTTACCATCAGTTACCCAATTAATCAGGTCAGAGAAATGTCATAATATGATGTTCTTTTATTCTTAACAGTTCAATTTTCTCCAGTTCTATTTGTTTAATTATGAAAGTAATCCATATATACAGAAAAATGTGGGTTGAAAAGTAAAATTTCCTGTTCCAACTCCATCTTCTCACCAGAGGTAATTTACATTCCAGATAGATTTCTATATATTTCTAATAGATTACAATGAATCTATATTAATATAGATATTACAGGTACTATATAGAGAAAAATGTTCGCATATATTTTTCATAAATGAGATCATTAAAAGTAAGTTGTAATCTGGATTTTTTTTCTTTTTTTTTGCTTTTCAGTGACAATACACGTAGACCTCTCTCAGTCATTTTGGTGGCTATGTAGTATTCTATACTATGAATACACCATGGTTCATTTAAACATTCCCCTCTTGGTAAACATTTGGTTGTTTCCATTGTTTGTGTTATAACAAAAAGGGCTCCAGTAAACATTCTTGTATATATATTTGTAGACAGAAAAATATTACTTTTAACTTCTATCTTGTCATCAAGTCAATAATGTAGAGACATTAGAATATATATATATATATGGGTTTTTACTTATTGTTTATTTGTTCACTTTATTTACTAATCCCTGAGATTGGTGTCCCTCTATATTTTTGGTGACTATGACAATACCAGCATTCTTTGACAATGTCTACATAGTACTAAGGTATAAATTCATTGTTCTAACCATGAATTCTTTCCTCTATTTACTTGACTATTATTTATCAGGTCCCTACCTATCTCAAGCAGTCTGCCAAGTGCTGTGGATGAAAAGAGGAGTAAGATATAGCCCCTGCCAGCAACAAGTTTTTCAGTAGAGTGGGATAGCTCATTTCTGGGTATCGAAAACTTGTAAGTGAATAATATATTTTTTAACGTCTATGATCCAGGTGTTTCATGTCATTTAGACAAATATAGGTACAAGACTAGTTATTCTTTTTAACACTAACCATAGCACCTTAATGAATCTATGAGGATAATTCACCTGGGATATCTTCCTCCTTCAATTGCATCTGCAATTGAATCAGTGATTTCATAAATAATGTTTCTCTTTTGGAATTCTGTAGGTCATCATGGTAGATGATCAGTTGACTTTTTTTTCATAAGCTGTTGAAACATCTTACGGGAGATACTTCTAAAAGTCTACCCAATATCATGGTAAATAAACTATGAGGAACAGTCGCATGTGAGGTGAAATATTCAGAGTTTCTGTGTTAGGAGTATTCAAATAACATATTTCTGGCCAAAGAGACATACATAGAGGTGTGTTGAGCCTCTAGGAAGTCTTTTGTTTTTCTTAATAGAGGGACAGATGAGGCTATGGTAGCTCTTCTCTACCCCCACTTCTTCCTGCCTTGAATGTGGACATGATGTCTGGAGTTTCAGCAGCCCTTTTGTGACCAGCTGATGATAAAAGTTAACTTTAAGGACTGAAGAATGGAAGATAGAAACTTTCTGGTTTCTTGACGGAATCATTGAGGACTTGAACAAATGCCAACACTTGACTACCTTCAGATTTCTTAGTCTTCTGACAGTTAAGTTTTTTGGCATTTCCAGCTGAATTCAATGAGACTTCACTGGTTTTTGGTAGCAGAGGCCTCTCACATTCTTTGTGAATCAATATAATAAGCTGGACCATTTTTAAATGCTCTGCCATTGTTCTGCCCATGTTGCTGTTTCCATCATCTTCTTTCATGAGGTCATTTTTCCCTGCTATAATTTAGAAAGATTGATTTAAATATTTTCTTGCTTAAATTGAAACTCTGAAACCCTAATTAGGATTTTAATAGTTATTTTTTTTTTTAAGGGAGAAACTTTCTTTTAATGATCTCCATTGAATCACACAGGTCCTATTTGAAGTACGGTGCCAAAACCCAACAGGGCTGTTGCTTTTTCTCTATGGATTCTTGCTATATTCAGCTACATCGCAAATATAACCAGAATGTTGTGCTGGATAGAATAACTTTTGCTTCCTCAGTTCACTCTAACACACCAGATAAAGAACTCACTGGTGTGCTTCTCTTTGACTTGGGCAGACAACATGTCTACAGAGGATTAACTATGTTGAGTTTGCTTTGTACTAAATTCCCATGAATTCCAGAATCTGCCTCTCAAAGTGGCCATGGAAAAACAGCTGCTCTACTCGAAGATTCACAGCCAAGCAGCCTCCATGTGGCCCACCTTGCAAAGCCATTTCCAATTCTTCCAGAAATCACAAGAATCCTTTTATAGTCCGATAAGTTTCTGATAATTAGTTGGATTGTCATACACACAAAAGGCTGCCCTAGACTTTTATTCAGCCAGCAATCTTATTTAAATACTACATTTTTACTTGGTCCAAAGGGCATCTTCAGATAGGCAAAGCAAAAATGTAACAGATGTGCTTATCCATGCACCTTAAAATTTTATTGAACCTCAAAAACTCATAGAAAACATGATATACAAAAACATTTGCAAAAGAAATTTAGAATAATCACCATTGGGAAAACATCATATTAGTTGAGGAATTATTTTATATTATTCAGATATAACAGAATAAAATGTAGTCTCCATTTGCTCATACATGGTAAAATGAGATGGGTCTGAAATATTTGGCTATCAATTGTAGGCTCATTGAATATGTTGCCCTTCTTATTAATTCTATAGCGCTTTCTTAAGATACTTGGGATAATAAAATAGCCAGATTAGTTCTTGATTTAAATGCCCATTAATTTCCTAAACTAAGCCTTTAACTTTATTGTTATTGGCATGTGAGCCAGAGTCTACCCTGATAGTTTTCCCAACCATATTTTCCCCAAAAATATGAAGCTGATAAAAAAAAGGAGAGTTTACCTGATTTCCTCCCATACCATGACAGTTGAATATACCCACTTTTTCATTTTCCTTGCGGCCCATGTTGTCTAAACATTGATTCGTTTCAACGTTTCTTATCTAAAAGAAACATACAAAAACGTAAGTCAGATAGTGATTTAAGTCAGAAAATCTTTCTGATATTATCAAATTGTATATTGATAACAAAATGATACAAGTTTGTAAAGAAATTTCTCCAAGAAGAACACATTGCTTTAAATATGTATTTTTCTTTTTCTATGTCCATTCTTAGATCTGTGTAAATTTCTAAACTCCTATGAAGTAACCTTGAACAACTCTGGCTTTGTCATTAGCATCTAACCAAGAGGCACCTCTTGTTTATAGTATAGTATCAGAGAAGAAGTATCTACATATTACAAATTAGGAATTCTTCCCCAAATCCTTTTAAAATTAGGACAGTTTCCAAATTCCACTCAAATAACCATAGTCTATTCTTGAACTCCTACTGTAACACGATAGGAGGAACAGAAACAAATTGTTTAAATATCCAAATTCATGTTTTTCTTAGGTCACTTCATTACTAGATGAGCCATTCTGTATACTAATAAAGATTAACCACACTGCTTATTTGTGTAACTAAAATATATTCATGCATCTTTTTCCCTTCTCAATGCCAGGCTTAATGAAAAGTAGTTGACCCTAAGAAAAGCTATTACAAGGTTAAATGGTGATTTCACATTATATGCCTCAAAAGCGAGATTAAATTGCCAACTGCAAACATAAGATTCTTGGTTTACACTCAAACACTGCATTAGACCCATGATTAACAGAAAGTTAATACATATTTGTGCCAAATGTTATGCAAAAGTCATTTGTTGAGTTTAAAGTTGCTAAAATTCTAAATCAAGCACAAATAAGTGCAAAAAAAGGAGAAGAAAAACCTTTCTAATAGATGGAATGTTTTAGATTTTTTCCTTAGTCTCAACCTCAAGTATGTATTTATACTTGTCCACTCTGCTTCCAAAAACCTCTTATCTCTGGCTCTTATCAGGACATACATATTTTACTGTTCACTCATATATTAGTCAGACATATCTGTTTAGTTATCTATGCTTTAGGTACATGTTTCTTCATATTGGCAAATGGCTAAGGTTAAAAACTTCTATAGAGGATGGATTAGGTTTATGCGATTCACTTTTTTGTATGGTGCAGAACACCATGGTCAAGTAATGGTTCCCAGAGTTGGGAAAACTGATGTGATTTACATGAAGGCCCCAACCAGCAATTGGGAATATTGGTGGGGATTGGAATTCATACTTGGTAAGGGCTGGACAGAGCTGAGTAGAGTGGTCAAGTCCTGTTCCAACGGGTTGAAATTGACAACAGCCATATAGATGCTTTCATGAAGAAATCTGAGCAGCAACCAGTTAGAACGGACAGAACACACCATGACTTAGAGGGAAAGGTTACAAGCTTCAAGAAACAAAATCATGTCCCAGTTCCAGACTGGTGGGATTAGGGCTGAAATGTACTCCTAAATCTGATTTAGGTTGGTTCAGGCATTGGAGGAGACTGAGCATATAGGTTAAGGCTAATAATTTTTCAGGACATGTAGCTGGACAGGATTGGGGGAGACAATGATAGCTAGATGATGTAGTAAATTGGTCTGCCCATAGTCTGATTGATATATTACATATAGGTTGAATCACTGTTTCTTTTAAAGATTGGCACCTGAGTTAACATCTGTTGCCAATTTTCTTTCTTTTCTTTTTTTCTTCTTCTTCTCCTCCCCAAAGCACCCCAGTGCATAGGTGTATATTCTAGTTGTAAGTCCTTCTGGCTTTGCTATGTGGGATGCTGTCTCAGCATGGCTTGATGAGCGGTGCTAGGTCCCTGCCTAGGATGAGAATCAGCAAAACCCTGGGCCACCGAAGTAGACTGCGTGAACTTAACCACTTGGCCACAGGGTTGCCTCGAGGCTGAATTATTTTTATATCCCTTACAGCAGACTTTTCTTGTTAACTTTTCATAAAAGGCAGACTTCAGGAGAAGCAATAGAATTATTTGTTATTATTATTTATCATCCTACAAAAGTGTAGAATAGTGTAATACTATAATACAGGAATAAATATCACACAAAATTATTAATTCACTTTTAGATGTCAGCTATGCAATCTGATTTCAAGGACCTCTGCTTGGTGCATGGTATTTGGATAGATGCTAGTTAATAATTACAGGGGCTACAGGATGAGTCGCTTGTAAGGTTCTGTCTCTTTGCTGGACAACAGAAGATTCAAAGCCATACTCAGTGCAGTAAATACTCTGACAATAGCATTTTAAAGTGCCATATGGTAGATGCAGGTCATCCTACTCTTTGACAAACTAAGCACAGAACTCAAGAATGCTTCCAAAATATTTTGCCCTCAGTAACAATCTATTATTATTTTCTTTATAATAGATAGAGTTTGTTTTTTGGTCTGTAACCTTTCTCATGAATTCATTCATTCACTCATTCAAAAAATATCATTGAGAGTATGCATCCTTCAATGGCAAGCACGATTCGAGGTGCTGAGGATACTGAAATGAACAAAGCAAACATAGTCCCTTCAATCGTGGAGCTCACGTTTTAGAAGGGAAGAGTGCAATACACAAACACATTTGCAATACATCAGAAAGTCAAGAAGCCCTACGAAGAAATAGAAAGCACGATAAGGGTAGGGAAAGCAATGGAGGGGGTACTATTTTACATAGGGGACCAGGAAAGGCCACCCTGAGGAAATGATACTTGCAAAAACACCTTATTGAAATGAGAGAACAGCCATATTTTCACCTATGTAAGAGCATTCCAGACAGGGGGAACAGCAAATGGACGCTCCCTGCAGCTGAGAAAACTGAGTGAGAAATGGGCTAGCAATGTGGCGAGGGTGCAGGGAGCGAGGGGCAAGTTAGAGGAATATGCAGACTAAATAATATAAGGAATCCTAAGTTTTTGAGCATGACGGTGACATATTAATAGTTCATTCTGGCTGCTGTGTGCAGAAGAAATTAGAGGGAGGCAAGAGGGGAAGCAGAGACACCAGTAAGGGGACTACTGCAGTCACGTCAGCAACAGATGATGGTTACTTGGAAGAGGAGAGAAGGGTAACAACCGAGGTGGAAAGGTCAGATTTGGAATGCTTTTAAGGTAGACCCAGTAGGACTTGCAATTGGATTGGATATGAGCTATGAGAGAAAAAAACACAGCAGGAAGCATTCCAAGGTTTTGGCCTGGGCAAATGGGTAAATGATGTTTCCATTTACTGGGATCAATATTCTGAGTTCTTGTATGTTGACACATACATCTGTGGCCTTTACACTTGTAAATCAATTTAGTAGATCTGGATTCCTTGGCCTACAATATTTTTCCTTGAGTTACTTTAAAATGTTACTCTATTTACTTCCAGCATAAATAGTTGCTTTTTTAAAAGTCTGATGATAATCTGGTTTTCTTTCCCTTATCCTGACAAATGTCTACTTGCCTGCATGCCAAACTGATTTTTTTCTTTAAAGTCCAATAGATTTACCACAAATTATCTTAATATTGTTCCTTCTGGACCACTCTTCCAGGTATGTGGTATTCGTTTTCAACATGTAGGTTCAATTTTATTCCCCGGAAAGTTTCCTTGAATTCTAGTTATTAATGTCCATTTTGTTTCACTGCTTTGATTTTCCTTCTTAGGAAATCCTACTACTTTGGATCTTATTTCTTATCTTCTATAGATGCCACTTTCTATTGAATAGTTTTGTCTTTAATTTCCTTTTCCCCTCGAAAATTCTTATGGCTTTTTCTCCCGGCAGTATTGACTCATGTTCTTTCAAGTTTAGCCTTCAATTCTAAAATGATTTATTCTTTAATTTCTAATTCTTTCCTGTATTTCAGGCCCTGATTTCCAAGGCTTTTAAAATTTGATTTATGTTGTTCTTTCCTATATTTTATCATTATAAAATTTCTTTTAGGGTGTTCCGACATATTAGGTTACACATTTCCTCTGTTTTATGAGCATAAAGTTTTGGTGTGCTTGCATTGTTTGCAGACATATCATTCTATTGATTATTTTTATTCTTATAGTACTCATGCTTTTCTACTATTTTCCTTTTTTGGGGGGGAATCATCTTGCACCTTTAAATTATTCTGCCACTTGGTTCTCATGCCCAGATATTCCCATTTAATTGGTATGGAGGGTAACCCGGCCATCAGGAGTTATAAAATCTCCCCAGGTGATTCCAATGTGCACAAAGTTTGGCGACCACCATTCTGGAGGAAGGTATATAGTGTCTTGATGTTAAATGGTGACATTTATAATTACTTTTCCTTTTTGAAGTAACTTCTTTTTCAGTGGTTCCCACCTGGGCTGCCTAATAGATTTACCTGGAAAGCTTTTAGAATATAATTCTACTTGGCCTCACCCTCATAGATTCTGATCCAAATGGTCTGGAGTAGGACCAGGATACAGTTTAAAGCCCCCCAGATGATTTGAATGTATAATCAGAGTTGAAACCCATTGTATCAAGAGAATACAATGGAGCACTTGCTGGCCGGAAGCCTATATATGTTGTGAATCCTCTTGAAAAACTCTGGATGCTCGTGCAAAGTAAAGGAGGTTTTCATAGCAAAGCTGATTCTTCCACTATGCAGCGGCAAGGTTTAGAGTAAATGTTTCTAGGTGTCGCTGACAGGAAATGTCTACACAGGAGACCATTTCTAACTTCACAAGTCTAGGTCTCCTGTGCCAGTACTTTTTTGAATAGTTGAAAAAAGTTGGCTTCTATTCTTTGAGATCTCCTGGCTCTGTTCATCTCTCCCGTTTTTTTGTTTTTTTTTTTTTATCCAATTCTATCTGGACCTTCCATTTCCTTTGCCAAATATTTTCCTTACCTCCTCAATTTGGGCTTTATTTCTTAGAGTTTCTCCTCATAAGCAGGTTCAGCTAGTGAGTTTCAAAATTCACAAGTTACAGAGTGTTCAGCCCCTTCAGACATTAGAAAGGAGATTTTTCACTGACTTGCAGATTGGATTTTATGAAAACATCTCTTCCAATTTCAGCTACTATTATCAAATTGGCTTGAAACAATTTTTTCAT